TGTCCACCCTTCGAAGATAGGGCGGCGAAGGGCTCTGGAAGTGTTCTTACCTGCCCTTGTTGAACTTAAGATTGGGCACAGGCAATGAACTAGCAGAGGAACATGACAGTGAGCAGTGTGTGCTACTTTTGTGCAGTGTGTTGCAGTGCGCATTATGTCGAACATATGATGTGAGCATGATTTCTGTCTTTTTCATGCTTGCCACGAGTCCGCCTGATCGACAAACCCAAAGACATAGGCGTAGGAACAGGGGGGCCGGGGGGGCCATGGCCCCCCACTTTCGGAGGTGGGGGGCCAGCAATGTTAACTGGCCCCCCCCCACTTTTTGCTGACTTAAGTGTCTGTCTGTACCTAACCTACCACCCGGTAACTTGACAACTATTCAGCTTGCCCTTTAATGAGGATTCCTTTTTGTTTCTACAGCGTTATTGACCGCAATTTCCTTCACTTAATGAAGGAAACCATATCAGAGACAAGACTGTGAGTCCTGGTGACAGCATTTTGTTGAATACGAGGCGCGGGACAGCGAGCACTAAAAAGGTATAGGCAATACTAAGACAATACTAGCACGGTGCAGGAGAATGCGTATACAAACGACCAACGCTTGACCTTATCTGCTTGGGGTCGGCATAGTTCGTCAAAGGCGTACTAGCTGGGGGCCAGGGTGACCGTGCCTCAGCCTCGGTTCAAACAGGCTGGGGGCCAGCAATGTCTGTTTCTGCCCCTCCCCCTTCCACTTTCAGTGCAGTGGTGGTCGCAGAGGGGGATCAGGGCCATGCCCTTCCCCCTCCAAAGGCTAATCAGGGGGCCATCATATCATTTGGCCCCCCCAAACAACCAATGGGCCCCCATGGGCGTATGGGGCTCTGGCCCTTATTCGATTGTCACGAGACTCAAGAATCCCACGCTAGCTATTAACAGCTCCCAAACCAGTCTTTGAGGGTCCTACACTGATCTCGGAGGGCCCTTCAGTGGCGGTCAAGCGCCCACATTGACCTCTGAGAACCCACATTGACCTCATTTGAGGACCCCTAAACCGGCCTCAAGGGCCCAGCCGGCGTCTGAGGGCCTCACACCGGCCTCTGGTGGCCTCATTTCTGTCTCTGGGGTCCCAAGACTAGCCTTTAGGTGCCTTTGAGGGCCCCGCACTGAATTCTGAAGACCCGATGCCGGCCTCTAAGGGTCCGCATCGGCCTCTGAGGGTCCACCTTGGCCTGAGGGGTCCAACGCCGGCCCATGCCGGTCTTTTAGGGCCCCACACTGACCTCTAAGGGCCCATGCTGACCTGTAAGGACCCACATTAGCCTATGAGGCCTTGCACGGGATTCTGAAGACCTGATGCCGGCCTCTGAGGCCCATCTTGGTTTTGAGGGCCTTCTGCTGGTCTCTGGGTTCCAACACCGGCCCATGCCGGTATTTTAGGGTCCCACATTGACCTCTAAGGGCCCGCACTGGATTCCGGAGATCCGATGCCGGTCTCCAAGGGTCCGCATCGGCCTCTGAGGGCCCACCTTGGCCTATGAGGGCCCTCCGCTGGTCTCTAGGTTCCAAGTCCCGCCCATGCCGGTCTGTTACGGCCCCACAGTCCACACTGACCTCTAAGGGCCCATGCTGGCCTGTAAGGACACGCATTAGTCTCTGAGGGCCTTGCACTGGATTCTGAAGACCCGATGCTGGCCTCTGAGGCCCATCTTGGTTTTTGAGGGTCTTCTGCTGGCATCTGGGGTCCAACACCGGCCCATGCCGGCATTTTAGGGTCCCACACTGACCTCTGAGGGCCCATACTGGCCTGTAAGGACCCACATTAGCCTCTGATGGCCCAAGTCGGCATCTTAAGGTCTCATCCTGCCCTTTGCAGGCCCTGTACTGGTCTCTGAGGGCCTTAACCCTCGCCGGCCGGGGGGGGGGGGCGGGTGCCGCCCCTCCATAGTTTTTTTTCGCGATAGCTCCGAACACGCCGCCGATAGAGAGCTGAAGCTTGGCATACCTGACCTTTGAATCAAACGGGATCTTTTGACACCAACCGCATTTTCGGGTCAGATCAGGTCACTGACCCATGTGGTCATAAGTGAACCTCTGCACGGTCTTCAGATGTCGCAACTTCGCAACGCCCTCACTGCCAGAGGAGATTTCACAGGGAAATGAACCTTGGAGGACCTAGTATCCAATAGGAGTCTCTCAACTTGTATAATGTATATCTCGGATTTTTCCTAAAGTTCATATGAGGTCAGGTCATTTTCGTGACCTCACCATTTGGTATAAGTCAATGGGGATAAACTGAAAACTTTTTCTGGCGCCGGGAACGATCGATCTCCAACTATCTCAAGCACACCGAATCGTGATTTCATGCACTCCTTGCAAGGTTCGATGCGTCACTTTTGCAATGTTGACCTTGCGCGACGTCATTTATGAAGTTATAAGGGTCTTATTAGTTTTTCGTCAATAACTAGGTACCGATCAAATTGAGCTAGCGAGTCGGGAAAGCCACCTATGGACTCAAGAAGACCTGCCGAATCGAATGATATGCGCCATGACCTCCTTCGACCAATTTCGTGACCTGGGGACGCCGACCTGACCGTGACCCGAGGTCAACACCCTAAGTTTACCTCACCCAAACAAAAAGTATATCATTCGACGCGCCTGAGAGAGGCGAACACGATGCTGGCAAAATCGCGGCTCTGCGGCCATTTTTTTGCGAAGTTATTCACCAAAAACGGAACCGTGCCTTGAGGCACTTGACCTGACCTCAGAGGTCGCCGGTTTTTGTTTGTTTTGTTGGGTTAGGCCCTTTCGGTCCAATGAGACCATTTCAGAGCCGGAAGGATGATAGGATATAGGGGGAGACATTGGTCTGGGCAGGCACCCTAGTGAGTCGCCGGGGCTGAGCCCGTCCAGAGGACAGGCCACCCAGCCCCAAGGCACTCACTGCACCCGGCTACGGGGTGCGCTTCCTCGGGAGCAGCGGTGCCGCTCCAAGGGAGCAGCCCGCATGAGATAAAGTTGCCTGTCCAGCCTGGAGGGGGTTGCGGTGTGGAGGAGAAGGATTTCAGTATCCTGAGGATAGAAGCACGGAACGGTGTCAGAGGTCACCGGTTGACCTAGAACCTTACAATCGGGTATCGATCTCTGCGTCTCGTAACGGCACACACGCTCGTTTTACCGCGACGCGCTAGCTCCACCTGGGGCGAAACGGCGAGAGGGGTCGTACCCGCCCCCCGCCCCCTCGGCCAGCGCGTATGTAGAAAACCTATAGGACCGGGCCGTGGAGGGTTAAACTGGCCTCTGAAGGCCCAGACCGTCTAAAAGTCCCACACCGGCCTCTGATAAGTGATAGTCAATCAGCCCAGTTGCAGTGGTCGCTGATATAAAACCTCTTAAAAACGTTATAGGCCTGGCTGAGCCTAGCTGGGCCGTTCATGCTGATTTTTATAGGTATATTGAAAAGACTCGCTTTGCAAGTTTCACGCTTGCTCGTAATGAAAAAGTTGCTGGATGCCTCTGGAATTTGCATGGGTGCCAACGGCTGCGGAGGACAGGGGAACGCGTCCATCAGTTTGAGTTTATGGACGGGAGACTCCCTGAAATTGCAACCAATTATTTTCTTCTTTTTTTTGTCTCGATTTTTTTTTACCTCTGAGCATGTTTGCGAAAACAAAGTGGCCGAAATCCGAGGAGAAATCGGATTTTGGGGGTAGGTTAGGTTTTGGACCTCTGGGACCCTGGCCCCCCACTTTCGAAAACGTTCCTACGCCTATGCCTCGGCGTCAACACGCAGCAGCCGGCCCTGACAAGCACACCTCGCCCAGCGTCGCTCCGCAGAGCACAAGGGGCGCCCTCAGGGGCCGCTCAGCGCCCAGAGGCAACTCCGTCGCCGCTATGCCCCGACGTTCTCCAGTCCCTGCACTGGCTGACGCAGTAGCATCTCTGAGGACTGCTCAGTGCCCAGCTACGCTCGTCCGCTACACCAGCAGCCCCTGCCGATACCATCGCGATCAGCACAAAGCAGCTGCACGGGATAGTCGTCGGGATGGTTCAGGCAGCCAGTCGCGGCCGCTGCACCAGCTGTCATCCCCGTCCCATCTACGCAGCACACGTCGTCGGGGCAATCTCTAGGCCTCGAGTAGCCGGCGCAGTTCCGGAGGAGACGAACACCCAGATAATACCTCAGGTTCAGCGACATGCCTTTAAAATTAGATATAAAAAAAATAATAACTAAAATGTGTTTCCGCGGACATCAGTTCTAGTGAATCAGCTATCAGACACAACATCGAGAGTCACCGTTTTGTCGATCTTGACAACTGGTTTTGTACCTCTAATCCACGCTATGAGGAGTCTGCAGTGTAGGCACCTTCAGCGTTGTGGGTGGTCTTCTGCAGCCAACCCATCCACACGCGTCATCCAGACATTCGCAGTCAGTAGCTTTTGTCCGATATACGGGCGGAAAAAAAACACTTTTAAATGGCCTCCTTACAATGAAAATACCAAAAGATGAAATGGCTGCAAAGTAGCACCACCAGTAGCGATCATCTTCATGCACAAGCTAGAACAGTCTGCCCTCCGAAACGCGACACTTAAACCGGACTTGTATGCAAGGTACATAGATGACACTATCGGGGCGTGGACTCATTCTCATCAGGAGCTGCGAGCCTTCTTCGACTACATGAACTCCGTCCATCCGAGTATCAAGTTCACGATGGAGGACTCTTTCGATTCCGGTTTCATTCCGTATCTGGATACCCTCATATCGGTTGACAAGGACGGACAACTGTCGACAGAGCTTTTCATCAAGCCCAGCCACTCTGGAATCATCATTCATTACTCATTACCGATGACAACGAAGAAGGCTGTCATTAGAAGCGAGTTTAAACGAGCGCTAAGGCTTTCGTCAACCGAAGAGGCAATGTCAAGGTCATGTGACAAAGTTCAGAAAATGTTCGAGCAGAATGGGTATCCCAACCAGATGATCAGAGGCATTAGAAGGGAAGTGTCAAAACAACGGACTAAAATAATGCGACAAAAGCGCAATTCTGGACGCGCTCGGCCCCAACAGTATCAGCGGCGACCACAGCAGCAGCAGCAGCCACCGGCGCAGCCAGGTCCTCGGCTACAGCAGCAGTCACAGGAGCCGTCTCCACCGCTTCCGCCGCCACCGCCGCCTGAGCAGCAGCAGCAACAGCAACAGCAGCAGCAGCAGCACCACCACCAGCAGCAGCAGCAGCAGCAGCAGGGGCAGCGACAAACCCGAAGTGACGTTGATGGTTACCTTTCCTTACCTTATGTCGACGAGACCCTCTGTGCAAAGATAAATAACATAGCCAGACAATCGAAACTCAACGTAAATGTTCCAAATAAACTCCTAATCCTCAGCAAGAGTCTATTTTGCCATGTGCGACCATCTTCCATCGAACAACGAACAACAATAATCCTGCGTAAGACCAAAAACCGAAAAGACCACGCCGAACACAAACTGACGCATTTCATACGAAATGCGACGCAATCAAGCGAAACCCAGCTAAAGCACTGCTACTTTTCGACAGTAACAGACAACTAAATAAAAATCCATAACATCCTCCCCGCCTTTGGATGTAACACCATCCAAACAAACATACAACGCTGCTCTAACTTGGTGTGACCTACCAGGCAGAGGGAGGAACACAGGAGCATTTCCATGGCAAACTCGTGACCAGGCGGCAAGACAGGTAGTGTCAGGTGGGTACATTCACGGGTCATATACCTCCATATCATGCAATCGCTGGACGGCTCGGGTCTTCACTTGTCCCCCCTGAGTCCTGATCTGGGCAGACCTAGCCAGACCGTCCCTGCCCGGAAACAGTTTAGTTACCACCCCGATCATCCACTTCATACGGGGAAGGTTGTCCTCTCTGATCAGTACTACTGAACCCTCCCGTAACTCACCGTGCTCTCTGAACCTACGGACCGACTGAGGGAGGGTCCGCAGGTATTCAGTCTGCCAAACAGACCAAAAACGGTTCAGCCGTCTCTCCCTCACACGCGCTCTGTCACAAAGCATCTTGGCGTTCACTGCCTCCGGATCCTCGAGCACTCTCGACTGAAAGCCTGTGCCGCGTCCCGTCAAAAAATGGGAGGGCGTCAGCGGACTGTCACCCTCCAATGAGTCGGTCACCGGAGTGAGCGGTCGGGAATTGATGCAGGCCTCAACCTCAAGGAGCACCGTCTCCAGCTCGGTGCGAGAGAGACATCTGGACCCGCACGACTTCCGCAGACCCACCTTCACCGTGCGAACCAGTCGCTCCCACCAGCCGCCCCACCACGGTGAGCGCGGCACAATTAATTTCCACTTGGGAGCGAGGTGTCCAAAGTAGCGCGTCAGCATCGCGTCGGCTCCACAAAACGTCCGCGCGTTATCGGAGTAAATAACGGACGGGAGTCCCCTTCGGGCCGCAAACCGCCTGAGGGCCATCAAGAACTCTGCTTGGCACAAAGATGCTGTGAGCTCAAGATGAACCGCGCGCGTCACAGCGCAGGTAAAGAGGCACACGTAAAACTTGCGACGCGGAAAATCTACAGCGAAAATGGGCCCCGCAAAGTCCACCCCTGTGACGGCGAACGGTGGCGCTCGGGTCACTCTGTCACGCGGCAGCGGCGCCGCCGGTTTGTTGCAGGCTAGAGCATCCTGCCGCTTACAACTAACACAGAAGCGCTTGACTCGCTTAGCGAGGCAGCGCAGACCCACTATCCAGTACGCTGCTCGGACAGCGGAGATGAGCGTAGATACACCGCAGTGATTCATCAGGCGGTGCTGGTCCCGAACCAGCAGCTCGGCGACCCATCCCTTGGGAAGCAGAATCGGATGCCGCTCATCATAGGACAAGTCGGACTGCTGCAGCCGGCCTCTGATCCGCAGAAGTCCATCACCATCGAGGAATGGAGTCAGCGAGTGCACGCTCGAGCTCCTCGCAACCTCTTTGCCTTGCTGCAGCGCTTTCAGCTCAGCAGCGAACGCCAGCCGCTGCTCCTCCCGTAGCAGCACCAGCCGGGCAGACACGACCTCATCAGAGGACAGGTCGGGAAGGGCGCACTTCTGACGCGCGTTTCGCGCGTTGTTACAAAACCTGCGCACCCAGCCCACGACTCTGACCGCCTTCGATAAAGACGACCAGCGGGTCGTGCAGAACACAGGCTGCTCACCTGTACCAGCCACCAGACAGCTGCCGCCAACGGCCTCCGCTGTCTCTGATCTGACCTCCACTGGGACACTAGTCACCTGACCAGACTCAGTCGGCTCATCACAAGCCTCGCCACTGTCGGGCCGAGCCCGAGGAGAGGCCAACCAGCTCGGGCCGCTCCACCACTGCTCGGATTCAAGCAGTTCCGCAGCCGACACCCCTCGAGTCGTCAAGTCAGCAGGGTTCTCATCCCCCGGACAGTGGCCCCAGTCGGACGGAGTCGTCAGACTCTGAATGGAACGCACTCTGTTGGCCACAAACTGCTTCCAGCGCTGTGGATCTCCCCTTATCCAGCCCAGCGCAATCATCGAGTCCGACCAGCACCTGATTACCGTGTCCTCGGGAAGTCTCAGTGCCTGGCGCACGAGAGCGACGAGGCGAGCTGCCAGTAGGCTGCCCAGCAGCTCGAGTCGCGGCACCGTCACTCGCTTCAACGGCGCGAGCCGCGCCTTTGCCAGCACCAGTCTGACCTCGCCGGAACCATCAGGCCTGGCTGTACGGAGGTACACAACCGCTCCGTACCCTCTGGGAGAAGCGTCACCGAAGGCGTGTAGGGACACACCCTCACCGTGTCGCCAGCCGGAAGTCGAGTAGCAGCGCGGTATCCGCAGCTGCTTCAGCGAGTCAACACCTCTCAGCCAATCTGAAAAGATTTGACTACGGTCCGCCGGGATGACCTGATCCCAGGCGAGCCCCAGTTGCCAAAGCTCTTGGAACAGACTCTTGGCCACCATCACAAACGGAGCCACGAACCCCAGCGGGTCGAAAAGCCGGGCAATACAACTGAGCACCACACGTTTGGTCGGCGTTACATCAGCGGAGACGGTGAGGCCCTCGTACGAGAACACGTCCTCACCGCTGCGCCACATGACTCCCAGAACCTTGGAGCTCTCACGCTCGCCAGAGCCGTTAGCGGCGTGAGTCTTGTCAAATACAACTGCGCTGTTGGAGACACACTTTGTCAAAGTCATTCCCGCTCCAGCCATCACGTCCTGAGCCTGACTAAGCAGCGAGCTAGCCTCCTCCTCGGAATCGGCACCAGACAGCAGATCGTCGACGTAAAAGTTCTCGGCCATCTCACGTACAGCCCTGGACGGAGCGCTCTTGGACAGGTGATGCCGGATAGTAGCGTTTAGCAGGAACGGGCTGCTCCTCACGCCGAACGTTACCCTGCGAAAGCGCATCACACGTGTTCTTCCCTCGTGGACCCACAGAAACCTGTGGACGTCCCTGTCTTCCACTTTGAGACTTAGCTGGAGGAAAGCCTTAGAGATGTCTGCAGTCACTGCGACCTGCCAGCGTCTGAATCTCAGCAGCACATCCACTAACGACGGGATGAGACAAGGCCCCACCTCCAGACACTCATTGAGGGAGACGCCATTGGGACCGGCAGCGGAAGCATCAAAAAACCGGCCTCACCCTTGTCGACTCGCTAGACTCTTTAACGACAGGGCGATGTGGCAGATAGAACGTCGGGCGCGAGACGTCCAGCTGGTGACTGGGCACCTCCTCAATGACGCCCGCGCTCTCCATTTCCTGCAGCGCCTCAGAATATGCTGCCCCAAGCTCCGGATCCCTCGCCAAGCGGCGCGACAGACCCTGCAGACGCGCCTCGGCGGCGGGTCGGTTGTCCATCAGGTGCTCGGCGGCACCTGCCTTCCACGGCAGGGCGACCTGATACCTGCCATCAGCCTTCACCACCGAGGAGCTGAACTCCTTCAAAACCTGGTCCTGCTCTGCATCATCCGAGTCACAGACGCCGATGCCCTCGAGAGACCACAGCCGGCGAAGAGAGTGCTCGTGAATGTCTCCGAGACATAGCAGCTGACTGGTGACGCCACCAGACGACTGACCACTTACCTTGCCTGAGATGACCCACCCCAGGGAGGTTTCCTGAGCCACGGGTCCCCCGCTCAGCCTGATCTCACCTTGTCGGATGAAGTCCCAGTAGCTGTCCAGCCCTACCAGCAGGTCCACAGACAGCTGCCTGTCGGACGGAGGATCAGCCAACTCCAGATGGCTGAAGGACTGGAGGACATCAGGAGGCAAGAGCGGGCGCTGCAGAGGCAGGCAGATGACTGGAACTCTGATAGCCTGGACAGAGTGGACAGATGGAGAGGTCACATTAGAGCCAATCATGTTCACATGGTACACGTCCCTGTGCTTAGAGGATGAGCCGGTCCCTCCAAAAGCAGCATAGGACACAGCCTCCGAGCCTACCCACACAGGTTCAGCTGCCTTTACGAGCTTATCACTAATGTAAGTTCTGTCACTGCCTGAATCAAAAAGCACTGTGGCTTGGACACGCCTTCCATCCTGACCTAGCACAGTTACTTGGGCAGTAGGCAGCACAGTACAGCTCCTCTCATGTCCACCACTCTGACAAGCCAGTGATGGGCGCTGCACTGGGTTAGTGTCACTGCTGCGGAGCATGCTGTCGCTGCCACCTGCAGCACCATCATGCTCACGCTGCACACCCCCTCCATGAATCCTGAAGCAGCACACCACATTATGTCGCCCACCACACTCAGCACACACTGTACTACATCTACGGGCGACGTGACCCGCACGCAGGCAGCGGAAGCAAAGTCCTGCCTGCCTGATCATGTCTCTGCGGTCTGGTACTGTCAGGGGCTGCAGCTTCACACATACCTCAGGGTGATGGGCCTGTCCACAGAAAGCACATACAGGCCTTGCACCTGTCTGCAGAGCTGCAGCTGCTGGCATCCTCTCTCGCTGTTCCCTCTTCCTCCTATGCTGAGGACCGCTTGTGGCCTTTGTTCGACTTTCACCAGATGCAGTTGTCTGTTGAGCTGAAGCCACCTGGAGCTTGCTGAATGCGGAGGATCGCTCCCTGCAGCTGATCTCCTTCGACAAGAAGCTCAGCAGCCAGTCCAGGTCTGCTTCCCTGCCTGAGCCCTCACGGGCCCACTCAAGACGAATGTCAGGGGTCAGCTTGGAAAGGATCATAGGAACAAGAATAATGCCATACCTGTCACCGTCGACGTCCAACGATGCCAGGCTTCGGATGTGGACAAGGAGGCGATCTTGCAGCTCTCGGAGGGATTGGACTTCAGAGGACGAGGCATCTGGAACAGAGAGGAGTTCTTGAATGTGGGAAAAAATCACCATCTCCGTCCTTCCAAAACGCGCCTTCAGCAACTCACAGGCACTTTTGTAGTTGGTCCCAGTCAGCGGCAGACCAGCAACACTCTCTTTGGCCTCACCAATCAGGAATGACCTAAGATAGGCAAACTTAGACACATCAGGCAAGTCAGAGCAATGCACTGCAGCTTCGAAAGATTCCCAAAAAGACTGCCACTGGAGAACATTTCCATCAAACTTGGGCAATTCTAATTTAGGGAGCTGCAGGTGACCTGATGAGCCCACAGAGCTTGGTGCCTTTACATTCAGGGCAGCATTGGCTTTGCAAAGCACTTCAGAAATTCCCTCTCTTAGTACGGCAGCGCTCTCAATGTCAGATATCATCTCTGCCTCAGAGGGAAAACTCAGTTCAACTTCTGACTGGACTTCATCTAAAATATTCAGTCTTTTCTCACAGTCAGCCTTTGCAGCCTGAATGGCTTCAATGTTCAAGTCCTTGCACTCTAAAAGCTCTTCCAGCTTACGGCGGCAGCGACTTACCCATCCTCGCGCTGCCGCCCTCTTCCTTAGTAGCTCTGCACTCATAATCGGAAATGGAACCACTCCAGTCTAATCACATCAATAAATCAAAAGGTTCCTGGTCCCGGGTCGATGGCACCAAAATTGTTCCAAATAAACTCCTAATCCTCAGCAAGAGTCTATTTTGCCATGTGCGACCATCTTCCATCGAACAACGAACAACAATAATCCCGCGTAAGACCAAAAACCGAAAAGACCACGCCGAACACAAACTGACGCACAGGGAGACACCGGTTGGTCACGTGACTCGGAAACAAAAATCAGCTGATAGAGTGGCGGAATCGCCGTAATCAAACACGAATAATTCCGGACGATAGAGCGGCAGTATATGAGTTTTCTTCACGATAGGCAAACATTGCAATGTTTTATCATTTTATGATCAAGAAACGTTCATAAACCATATATTTCTTCGATGATTACTGCCGCAACCGACGCGCTCATATCGTAGCCAGCGCATAAAGCTGTGCTTTGCGATATTAAATGTAAAGAAAAACATTCTATATCTTGCTTCAACCTTCTACTTACGCTTTTATATATTACGACAGCGACACCATACGGCCTCACCGTTCCGTGCTTCTATCCTCAGGATACTGAAATCCTTCTCCTCCACGCCGCAACCCCCCTCCGGGCTGGACAGGCAACTTTATCTCATGCGGGCTGTTCCCTTGGAGCGGCACCGCTGCTCCCGAGGGAGCGTACCCCGTAGCCGGGTGCAGTGAGTGCCTTGGGGCTGGGTGGCCTGTCCTCTGGACGGGCTCAGCCCCGGCGACTCACTAGGGTGCCTGCCCAGACCAATGTCTCCCCCTATATCCTATTATCCTCCCGGCTCTGAAATGGTCGCATTGGACCGAAAGGGCCTAACCCAACAAAACAGAAACAAAAACATACGGCCTATCGACGCTATGCAACTCCATGGAGTGTCCGGCCGCACTCTTCCGAGTGTGCCGAGATCAGAGGCGGACCATCCGCGGCACGTCCAGCTGCACTGCCCGGTCGCTGGGAGGGCGACACCTAGCGCCGCTCTGGCCGCTCGCTTCCGCGCACAACTAAGCTACCTGGCTACGCCTGTGGGGGGGGGGGGGGGGGAGGAGCAAAACCAACAACAGTCTGATGAGCCAATGGAGTCTGCGAGCCGCGCCAATCAGCGCCCTTCCGCGCGCAGACGGGAGCTAGAGCTATTCATCTCCTTTCCTGTTTTCGCTGGTCCGCCAGTCACCAGCACCGTTCCGTACTCTCGATCGTAGCCATTCAGCCGTGTTGTCCTATACAACAGTCAGCAGCCTCGGATCGCGCCAGTCGGCCGCCAGAGAATCTATATTATTTATTTGCCGTACAGCATTGCAAGCGTTACAGTGTTTGCAGCCGGGTGTAATCAGTAGTTGACACATTTATGTTTTGTATCACAAAATTTAAAAATTCATTGAAATATATTCACTTTAATTTGCATACAGCTTTTGATTCTTGACGCAGATTGTTAGCCCTTGCTACATCAAACAGCCAACATCCATATTTCTATTTCCAGAGCTGCAGTGCTGGACACCGAAAGTACATTATATTCTAATAATTCAATCCAAAGGCACATAGATTTCACGACAAACTTCTAGGTTCCAGAGCAAGTATTTTCTCGCCAGAAGCGCGCGATTTAATGCAGCTGGCGCGCTCACAATAACTAATATCGCGCTCGCCAAAACCTGCCGGTTACAGCCACTCACACCTTACTTCCAACCTCCGTCCCATTTATCATTTATTAGCATATCGAGACAGAATGAGACTACGACATAATCGTCAAATTACATAACACAAATTGCGGGACGTCATCGGAGAGCCCGTTAAAATACCAACCCCAATCTCGGCCAACACCGTTGGGACGGGGCGGGGGGGGGGGGGGGCGGGAAGGGCTTGAAGCTGGAAGACGTATCGGCGTATCCTTCATAGACACGGGTGTTTCGCAACGCTGGAGCGTCGAGCCGAATTCGTCTCAATCGCCGCACTAACACAGCAGCGCTGCGTAGCGCGCTGCAGTACGCTGCCGTGAAACAGGGCCCAGGAGTCGGATGGTCTCGGCGGCGGCGGCAGCGGTGACGGCGCTTGTCACCGTGGAGCCCTTGAACGACGCCGTCAGCTCGAGCACCGGCGACTAGTGACCTGTAACAGAGCGAGTCGCGTCTCGTCACGTCGTCACCTTTCAGTCGCGACGGCCGTTATATAAACAGTTACTGAGAACATCACGTACCAGCCACGGCGACCGTCACATTACAGTCACGGTGATCGTCACACAGCAGTCACGGCGACCGTCACAGGTCACGACGGTCATCAAATACCAGCCACGGCGAGTATGACTCATAGTCACAACGTCTTCTGTCGCACACTCAGTCATAATTACAGTACATTAGCCTGTGCATAAACATCTCATCCAAGAAGTCCAAGCCCGATTATTACCCGCGTGGGGCTGCGGTTTGGTGGCGTGCGGCGACCGGCCCGACGGTTCAACGCCGGTGCTTACAGCGGGTCGATCCTGACTAGTTCAACTGGCAGCTCACCGACACGGACTGGACACCTGTGTTAAAGCAGCAGAGACCTACGGAGAAGTGGGAGGAATTTCGCAGGATTTTCCTATCACAACTCGACACAGTGGCCCAGGCGTCCACAACTCGACACAGTGGTGACCAAGGCGCAGCTGCGCCCCCCCCCCCCCCCCCCCGGTTCACACAATTACTGACCTGGAGATAACGTGATGGTTTCTGGACAATGTGGCTTGATACTGGCCACCACACTCTACAACTTTCTGCCAGGTGACGTCCTTCAGCTGGATCGAACCGCTGTCTTCAGAACCGCCGACAGCAACGAGCCTGTTGAAAGATAACATGCTCAGAACTAAAAAACCACAAAGCATACAATGGAAACGACTAAGCTGGCCACAGGCACGGTACACAACGGCGGTCTTTTATGCTAAGAAAGTTCCATCGCCACAAAAGATTGCAAATGGCTATGTTATAAAAAAAAAACTCAGATATCACATATCTAGTCTGATAATGGATACCTGGCCGCACGTCATGTGGATGGCAGCATGGCTTGAGCTGTGTGCTTTGGCATTTCCATGGTGAGATTGGACCCCATGCATGGCGCTGGTGTTTCGTCTGCACGTGCATGTCTGCATCTACTGATCTGGGGTGGTCCAGTTTCCAAGATCTCTTGAGCGTGCTGGGCTACTAAGTTAATAGGTATATTACACTACGCATTCGCGATGGTCCACAGTGATAAAATTGTGGTAAATGGATTTTCTCCTCAGTCCTCTTCTTTTATTCCAACCCTTATTTCTCACTGCCGTTTGGCTGAGGCACCTTGAGGCTTGATGCAGAACGAGAATGCCCATGTCGTGTGGCACACCTTTGATGAGCGTCTGCCCCAGCCAGCATCTGTTAGCAGTGGCTAGGTGGCTGTGCATTAGCAGACCCCTCTGTCAAGCTGACTTGGCTCAGAAACTAGCAGGAGGTTGAGTGTGCATCCTACGATGGGTAGCTGCTCATCTATGTGGCTCTGTGACACAGGATCAGCCTGAGAGAGAAGAAAGCCAGTCAAGGCAGTAATGGGATGTTGTCAGACTGGCAAAATAGTAAGTACTATGCCACAAGTTAAAGATCAATTTAAAGTTTTGTTGGGTTGCCTTTCAAGTTTTGGCCCAAAAAGACTACAGAGTTGGAGGAATGATAGGAATTAGGGGGAGCTATTGGTATGGGCAAACACCCTGGTACAAGTCATTGGGGCTGAGCCCATCCAGTGAACAGGGCACCCTGTCCCTGACACTGCACCTGGCTCCGTGTATGCTCCTAGGGGAGCTTCCCACATGGGATGAAAGTGTCCGCCCATCCCAGTCCCCAGAACAGGGGGTTGAGGCATAGAGAAGGATTTCTGGTATTCATATAGCAGGCATCTCACATGCTGCCACCCATTTGTGAAGTCGCTAGACTCTCCAGTTCTTGAGACATTTACACAAAATTTGCTTTTAAATCTAATCAAATACCCACCTAGTCTAACAGAACAAAACATTATCTAACCTGACCTAACCTTACCTACTAAACTACAACCTACGGTTTATGGTAAAGCTGGCGTCACCGTCAGTTGGTAGGGTGTAGGGTATAGGTTAGTATGTTAATAGCCAATAGGTAAGGTTAGGTAAGGTTAGATTGTTTTTAAATTTCAGCTTCCTTTTATCTACACATTTACTGGCTAACGCTGAAGGTGACTCCAGCTTTATTGACACCCCGTCAAGTTCGTCACCAGGGTGGTGTTTCACCGGTGATAGCAGCACGCTGCTATTCTGCTGACGTCACACTTGTGGTTGTGTTGGAGCAATGTGAGTGGGGCTTGTTGATGTCTCCATGGAAACCTAATTTGACACATGAAATAGCAGCGTGCTGCTATCACTATCACCAGTGAAACACCACCCAGGCCAAACTCGCACCACGCTACACTAAATCTGCGCTGCACGAAGCCAAATCCGCAACGCACCAAACCCACACCAGCTGAACAGCCCCACAAGCCACAATGACAACATCTCGTCGAAATTGCCATGCTTCGTCAACTGGCCGTTGGGGTAGAGCATACTTGGTAGGATAATTACCACAACTACAAGACAAATCAATCAAAACATCAACTACCTTTGGCCTTGGCCTAGTTACCTTTTACCTATTTTGATTTGAATCTCAACTGAACCACAGAATTCAGAAAAGGATCTAAAATCATAGTTGCGGCACTCGGCGCTAGAGGCGCTACATGCGCGAGCGGTTGACCGCTCGCGAGGTCAGTTCTGTCCTGAGCCCTGTTCAAGTGTCTGCGGCCGCCGCGGCTCCCGCGGCCAAAAAGGCGGAGCTTAGCTGGCGGCCAATCAGGCGAGAGCAGCATTCTGGGTAATGCGTAGCTCTTCCTGCGGCTCCCGCGGTCGCTCGGGAGGCGTATTTACAAATTGCAACCGAGCTCCGCCGTAGGGTATTTTTTCCGCCGTAGTATATTTCAGTTGGGGTATTTTCTACCATACATCTGCCTGAGCTTGGGGTAATTACAATTTGTCGGCGACGTTAAAAAATGATGCACCTTTTTCCGCAGTATAGGTTATCGCATGTGCATATTTTTGCCTTTTTGGTTGCGCTTTCCCTCGCCCGTATAGGGGGAGGCGTTGAGCGGACCCCATCGGTTTTTCGTGAGTAACTCGCGTAAAAACCGTCCGATCGCGACGAAACTTTCAATACCCCCGATTTTATCAATTTTACTCCTACCCTGAAAATTTCATGACCCTGACCCAAATGACCTTTGACCTGTGACCTATTTCTTGAGACCATGTTTGGCCCGAATCGCGTTTCGGCGTATGTCGGCTCGCATTAGCCGCGCGTTTGCAGTCTTTACGTGGTTTCAAGCGTTGAAATATGTGATATGATGCTGGTCCCATGCATTATGGTGGGTGTCACATGAAGATCAGGTCAGCTCAATGACCTTTGATGACCTCGGTTCACTTTTTCGAGTTTAGCATGCCTCTAGGCTAGTTTTTGGAGCTGATTTCGAATTTAGCAACCATTTGAACATTAAAGGGGGTGTAACGAAATTATCCGGACATCTTTCTTCCCGCTGTAATTAAAAAGCAAAACATTGTGGTACTTTTTATTTTGACTGAGCATGTAGCCACATTTCATAAAAACACAGTGGCGAATGTTTTGGAGCATTTCAGCCAATGGATTATCCAGCACACTGGCTTTGATGCGGACCAACGCCGTCTAAACCTGTGCCTGCAGTTGGGCGGTGCTTGTGGTGGGCGTCTCTTCAGTCACCTGCTGAACAAGAGCCCACAGGTTTTCGATTGAATTGGGATCTCGACTTTTTCCAAGTCATAAGCGTTAGCCCAGAATGATTGAAGGTTCTATCGGCATCACTTTCCGTTCTTTAAGGGACTTTTAAGTAGCGCGCCGCCCAGCATGAAGACAGCGTGGCTTGAATCAGGCATCAGTGCGCGTTCAGAAACCGAGCCCTCCTATACCGTCTGGTTGAGCGCCTCCGACTATTCATTGGCCAGTATGTTTCTCCGGTAATACTTACGTTGATGGCGTATGTGACACTATGTCCTATTGGAGGATCGCTAGGCAGCTGAATATGCTCCAGTTCTGGATATTGTCCGGATGTTTGACGGCGGCGAAGGCCAGCAAGTTCGAGCGGCTGGCCGCCCATACATGGCCGATTTGACGGTTCAAAGGATAATACAGCTCGAACGGCTAACCATCCAACCAGACCACCTCACCCTTATCATTCTTCAACCAGTGGACGCGATCTGGCGTGAGGCGAAAGGTGGTGAACTGGTTGTTTTCCCGTCAGTTTCGTTGTCTTTTTCAGTTTGAAGGGCACTAGTCACTAGAACCAAGTTAAAGGGCGGGTAGCGGTAAACCATGATATGGGATCTCTTATTATCTGACTTGGTAAGAATTCGAGTCAATTTGCGGATTGATTGGTGCCGTTTCCTTGCCGCTATCTTGATGACTCTCCTCACCACTTGACAAAGGGCGGCTTTTGTGGTCGCGACCGGGCTGAGTCTGCCACCGAAGTCCCAGCTCATTACACCTCAGGCAAATGTGCAATTGGCTGCTGCTGATGTCCAGCTGCTGGCAGACCAGCTTCTGGCTCATGACGCCGTGGATGCCGCCATGCAATTTTACCACGAGGAGAGATTGTATCCCCTTCTCGCAACTGCCTTGGACGAAAACTACCATGTGAACCCGTCTGTGAATCGACTCCTACTCAGAGCAACAGTCACATGACAAGGTCAGGTCACTGCTCAGTTGAAACCGATACCAGAGGCACGTATTCATCCAATATTCCCACTCCTAACATCAGAAAGGATGAGAAAACTGTGCAAACAGATATGGCGAAAAAATAGATGTCCGGACTCAGGATAATTTCGTTACACCCTGTACTGAAGTAGTTTTAGTGCCTTCGTAACATGTTACGAAGCTGTCAGAGAAAAAATAGCCTTCTGCCCCTCCAACTTTTGTTTATTTGTAGAACTTCGTTGCTTAGCAAACAAAGATGTATAATTAAAAGATTTGATTCAGTGTTGCACATAATCTAACTTAACAACCGAGCATTGCAGGTTTGACAGCTTTTTGCCCCACCAGCAGTAGCACCACCTTCCCTGGAAAAGCTCCACCCTTGCCTATGGGGCAAAACATAAGGGACAAAAACACAAAACAAGACAGATAAAAAACAAAACAAAATGAACTCATTACCTAATGAAGTTCAGTCTGGAGCAAAAACATAGGTAATAGGTATCTATGTCAAATTAGAATGAAAGATTAAAATCAACCTGACCAGGTCTTACGGTCTGACCTGATCCTAACCGCCTTACTTCACCTAACTTAACCCAATTCAACCTAACCTACCACCACAACACCTGCAGAGGTACCTTCCTAGAAAATTGGAATATTACCATGATTGCTTGTCAAAATGTGTGTCATCATGCTCTTGTTTGACAAGTGATGTATAATAAATGTGACATTCAAAAATGGTCTCCTGACTGTTGAGTGATCAGAAAATTCAAATAATCAGGGTACAATGCTGTGCATCATAGTGCTCACTAATCATGTTGTTTTTGTGTAGGCCCTCTGAGCATTATTGTGTACACTGCCATGTGCACCTTAAGGAAAAAAAAGTGACTGGTGGTACATGAAAAGGGTTGTGCAACTGTGAAGTTCATGCCCTTGGTCTTGTTGGAGTCAAATGCCTATAGCTATAGCAGGATCAGTGAGAGTTGTAGACATTAGGGTGTGTCGACCACAAAGAATCAAGTGGAGACAGTTATATTTTATGGCCCAATAGCATGGCAAGACGATTGCTTCGAAGATTACCAGTCAAAAATGAGAAACTGAGTCCCGCGAGGCAAAATTGTTCGCCGGCTTGGTCCCTTTCTGGCGATACTAGCGCCCCCAGCTTATACAGTAGCGGCCGTTCCGAAAGCTTTAGTTACATAGGTGGCGCCATAGTCGACCAGGCATTAGGCAATGCAGTCGCACACGAACGATTCTGACAGGATGCTGATTTGCTTGTTGCTAGAAGCGATATAACAGTGTAAGACGCGTGTGGTGGAATAGGCACTACGAAAGTTTGTCAAATACGCACGTTGCACAGTCAGCTTAGCGGGTTATTTAACAGAATAAATCAAATGCAAGTTTGCGCAATATAATGCAGTTTGACAATAGCACAGTTGGATCATGGATGGTGGGATACGGTAAGCCTTGGCGCTGCAGCGTGTAGTCATGATGACGAGCTTATGTCAGCACATCTCGCTTGGAGTTGAATACGGGGATGATTTTGCGGTGTTTGAAGCTTGCCGTGATATGGCCGTGCCGCGCAGGGCGTATTTTAAGGGATTTTCACTGGGTCGGCAATCACAATTAGGGGCGGCATTTTGCACTCATAGGGGCGGCACTTGGCATCTGAGGGGGCGGCATACCTACTGATATTTAATGACCAAAAAAGACACGTTCGTCGGTTCTTTTATAACTCTTCCTAAGAAATGATTTCAGATTCAACCTAAACTCAGCGGTATTACGTTTATTTTTCCGGGATATAGTATTTCTCTCATCATAATGCGATAAATGAACTATAATTTGACCTAACAAAAAGTAATTTTAAAATTTTACCCGAGTTAAACATGTTACATACCAGTCGATTCGTATCGTCAAGCTTAAAATATTCACGGCGTTTTATGGCTCTATCAGTATCTAGAACAGTGGTCGGCAGGTCGCACGAGTGTGCCCACTTTATGGGCGCTGGACGGGGCCATTACCCCCACTTGTCATACCCCATTGCTTACACAGCAAGGGTCGCTGATATTCGGCCATATCCTTTGACGCCTCTATTTTTCTGCATATAGATAAAATGCAACACAATTAACTCTCTTTTTTATGGAGAGGGAGAGCGTGTGGAGTAAGGATTAAAGGAAAAGGGCCACCTTTAACATGGGGATTGAAACTGAGATAGCCATCTTGTAGCCCGTGTCCGAAAACCTATCTGTCTACCTCCTTACGGCCGATTTCGGCCTCCATTCGTAGATATCGGCAATTTTAAAAGAAAATACGCCAGGAATGCGTTCTTATCCAAGGAATGCGTTCTTATCCGACAATACAGCCACCCGCGGCGAGGCTTTGGTTTTTTACCAATCAGCTCCAACCAGCTCAGCTTTAACCAATCAGCTTATCTGACACAATCCGACGAGTCTGTCTTCTGAACGCTGATTGGCTTGAGTGTGACGTCATCGCTATGCCATCATACAGTAGGTGCCGTAGAGAGTATCAACATAGTACCAATATGTTAAATAGTTTTAAATACTTTTTCGCGAATTGTGCACTTCTGGCACCAGTTTTAAAAAGAAAATGAAAAATAATAATGTCAAAATGAAAAACAACGATATCTTCATATTTCACGAAGGTGGCCCTTTTCCTTTAACTCATACATTTTTTTTTATTAGTTACTCGCGTAATGAACAGCGTATTGCAACGATACGTTCATCCCTCCCCCCCCCAGGTTAATGAATGTTATACCTACCTACTCAAACATTTTCGTGACCCCAGTGACATTGTCATTGAGTTTTTGAACTTTGAATGACCTTCACTCGGTAACTTTCTCTCCGGCTCGGCCGGCGGACAAAACGCAAGCGAAGACAATGCGGGGAGTCCGGTGCTCTACCAACTGAGC